ACTTGGCGAATTTCGCATTTTTCGTTTTTTGACAATAATTCAAAAAGTGTTTGGGCGATTTCGAAAAAAAAATCGACCACAGGCAATGGGAAGGGGCCCAAATAAAAGGGTGTGAGTTTCATTAAAATCGGTAAGAAAATCGAAAAATCGAAAAAAAAAAAAAAAGCAGACGGTCCCCTAAACTGAACATATAGCCATATAAGTGCTATTGACTTTTACCTTGCATGCGACAATCTCCAAAGTAAAATCTATAGTCACTTCTGTAATGGGAGGTTCTGGTGGATGTACATGGCGACTCCGCCTCCACCCCTACCCTCTCGATCCTTCCGACACAGATGGTAGTTTCTCAACGAAACCAATTCATCAGAGATAAAGTTGTTTTAATGGGTCTCTTCGAGAACGATAATATCGGGAGCATAAGACGAGGCTAATAATCTAAGGTCGTTTACTCTAGTTCTAAGACTTCGACAGTTCCATTGTATAATGGTTAATGCGAAGATTATGTTTTTGGGGTTTGGAAGTGCCTTTTTCTGGGAGGGAGGCGCCTCTTCTCCCGAGCTTCCCGGTGACCTCTCGCGGGAAGACTTGGAGACAAAAGACTCCGTGTCCTGCATCTCTCTGAGGAGCTGACCAAAAACCAGGCAAACTCTTAACAGGAGTCGCCTGGATGGGAACATATGATCCAGATTGTGATTTGGTATCATCCTTACGTTGCTGCTTTTGTTGGTTTGATTCAGTAATTTGTTTTATTGTTTTGTTCAATTCAACAATTTGACTTGTTAATTTTTTTCATTTCCTTAATCAGCAATTTCTTTATCCTTAGCTGCAAGCACCTGACTGATACTGCTTGCACTGGGAGTGTTGTTAGTTGCTACTGAAGCATAGGTAGTATTGGGCTTGTTGGTCAAGCCTTCAACTTTCCTCTTGGGTTCATGGTAACTACCATCATGACCTCTCATGTATGCTAATATTTCAGTCTCCTTCTTCAGGCTGCTGCACACAGCAGAGCCTGACTGATGGGGACTTCCACAGTTAGCACACTTGAAAGTGTTTCCAGTACATGTGTCATGAGCTCCAGCACATTTACCGTAAGTAAATTTATCAGTATCCTTATCAATACAGCGTAATGAGGTGTGTCCAAATGTTTGGCATCTATTACAGCACATAGGTTTTTGAATTCAAGATCTTACTTGGACACGTTCGTATCCAATATAGACAGGAATTTTACTTGAAACAAAGGTCAAAAACACAATCCGGTTTCCTTCACACATTCCCGTCTTTCTTGGTCCATGATGCCTTGGTCCTTCATGTTTTCAAGAATTTCACTTTCATCCATCATTCTCAAATCCCTATGAAAGACTACTCCCTTACAGTTATATGAGCCAACATAAATAGTTACTCTTACCTTGAAATCATGAATCTGCGTCAGTTTAAGTTGTTAACCTGGGATTTGAATTGCACTTTTACAAGGAAGCTACCATCTCGCAATTTCTTGACCATCAAGGACCTTGATGATGAAGCAACTGATTTTCATTCACGCATCTGACAGCCAAATACCTTGCATTCTCTGGAGGGATAGCATGAGGTCGTTCTCGTTGGTCAATTGTAGTGGTTCCATTATTCATAGTCGTGGTCTTAGAGGAGTCATGGGTCGCCCCTCCTCCTCTAGGAGAAGGGGTAGCCGGGGGATCAGTCATCATGGGCATCGGACAAGTCCGACCCCTGGGCGCTTGCCCGTTGTCCTGAAAGACCAATAAACCCCTTAACTATTGGTAATCAACCTAACAGCAATGGCTAAGAGAGTGTGGCAGTTAATCGTCCTCTACCCCTCCAGTGGAAGCCTGGTTGTGTTCTCCAATACCACATAGGGATCGAGTTAAGTGGAGGACACTTCCCTACCGCCAAACTACCCGAAGCGAAGGACGGGAAGTAGATGCCCATCCCCAAGCGAATACGGGAGCCCACAAGGCTCAGGGAAGTCACATTAAGAGAAGGAAGGAATTCAGAATATAAGAAATAGTGCGCCCAAAGGACGCCCCAGATTACTGGGCCTAACTAATCAGGGGTCAATGCCCGTGAGGGCTACCCTGGTGCAGAAGAGAGCTGCAAGTCTGAGGTGGGGTGCTGACTAATCCTACTGTAGTCTCGTGTGACCTGCAAGATCAAAGCACTGAAATTTACGTTATGCAACACAGAAACAACAATATCGAGCGAGACGAGAGGCCCTGGACTCTAGGGTAACTCAAGTGGCACACGATTTTTAATTTGTTGCTGCTGCGTTTTTTTAAACAAGGTCTGAGCTGGTCAAGATCTCATACACGAGTCAGAGGCGCTATGATGACTCGTTTAAATAATAAAATGAAAATAAAAGGTTTACTTTACTTGTTTAAAAGAAATCAAATAAAACTGAAGGCCGTTAAAAGAAAGCTAAAATAAATAAAACATAAAAATACGAAAATAAAATTCGGACGCAAACTGCAGATGGCTGCCATCGATGCCCACGGATGGTGCTGAGCCTGGTGCTGCTGGCTAGAAGGGGGTGTAGCCGACCCCGCAACCTGCAGCGCAGCATACTTCCCCAGGTTGGGTCCAGGTCCACATCCTGTCCTCTCGCCCTCACCATCAGCAGCTTCTCGACGACGCATACCGAGACCTGATTGGTTGACCACGGACACCTCACGGCTCACCTATTGGACCGCAGGCTCCCCTCGTTCCCGGGTGGCTGGCACAGCTCAGACCCACTTAAGCTCCCGCACCCGGGCCGAGTTCATCACTCACGATCCTCCAGCCGAGCAAGACAGCCAGCAGCAACTAGGCCTACCCAGGCCTTAGCCGACGGGTGAGCCGCCCCGGGGCGGCTCTCCCCGGCGATCTCCAGCATACCAGCCATACCTGTGGGCACACACCCACACACAAAAGCTCCTTAAAGAGATGATTGACACCAGTCTATGGCAGATACCAATCCATTGCCATAGGGGGACTCGCCTAGTCTGGACCTCACGTCCAATACAATGCATATTGTATCGCAACCCATCCCCATCTATTGACTTCGTATTTCCATAAACGCTGCACACACACATGCAAGCGCGCGTACAGTGACAATGCGTCACTGCGGTTTTGAGTTCAGTTAATATTCTATAATTAAGAAAATAATGCAATATGTTTAGTTCTGGCGAAAAGAAGAAACTCGAGTCACGTAACTGGTTACATTAGCCGCCAACACATGGTGCAACTACGAAAAGCATTTACAAAGGACTCGGCGATTTTCATTTGATTTGCCTGCTGTACATAGATGTTTAAAAGAAATATTTAACTTTTTTATATTTCAAGAAATGTGCAGTTATTATTTATCCTTGTGTTGAAAGAAGAGGGAGGGCGAATACCGCCTGGCCTCCATAAGTGTTGCCATTTCGATGAAGAGGATTTCAGGAAATCGCATTTGGAAAATATCCCACTACAAAGTCGACGATAACGAATGTCACACGTTTTGTTGTCACATTTGAGGTAAATGAAAGATCAAATGACATATTCTTTCCAAAAATAGGATAATAATAAACACTTGTTATTCATAGGCTTCGAATCACATTTTCTTACAAACAACATTCATGAAAGATACTATTTACGCTACGTTTACGTCGATGAGGTTGCTAGATGTACAAAAGGGGTACCCACTTGTAATGTAATTAAGAAACTGTACCTGTACCAGTTAGTAATATACGACCATTATGGCGAACCGCGGAATATCGTATTTGTATCTGAAAACATTGTTTTTGTTATTTTAAAATTATATTAAATTGAAGGTAATTTTTAATTTTCATTTATTCATTTTTCATTTACTTATTTATTTTGTGTTGTTTCGCCCTCTTGCTTTTATGTGCCAGACTACATCTGTTCGGTAATTATACTCGATAATTTAATAAAAGTACAGTGATTGTGTTCATGCATGGTGCTTGCGATAATGACGGGCAATTTAGACGGTCCTCGTTTCCCTTCCATTCCACAATTCGAATATTAATTGTGAGATGCCGTAAACCTGTTGTAAGGGACTAATTATATATCAGTTGTGATGTTTGTTATACAGTGTGTTATGGTTGTGTAAATGAATTCAAAATTTAAGTTGATTTATAAAATGCTATAAAGTGTACAAATGAATAGTTAGGCATATATTGTTGAACAGATAGGACGAAATATTTTAATGTTCAATGTAAGCTTCATTCTTATGAGCTTAGAATACATTTTCCTTTCTATTCTACCAAATCCAAATAAATAGTTCTTATCAAATGATATCCATGAAAGTAATTATACTATTCAAAAGTCGAGAGAGAAGCGTAACCACTGTCGTCCTCACAGAGTCTAAACGGCGTTTGATTAGGGGAAATTAATCTTATTTTTACAGCTTTACATAACAAGTTGCATGCTTTGTAGGTAATAAATTGTAACTTATATGATTAAATTTATTTTCCAGACCCCGATTCCTCCAGTCGAGGTCTCTGAAGGATCTGCTCTTTGTAAGTCTCTGTCTCCGCGCACACATACATATATGCGTACATGGTTACATACATGCGCACGCACACATGCACACACACACACACACACGCATGCAAACGTACACCCGCACACATACAAACATACGCTCAAACCCACAGATACAAGCATAGGCACACACACACACTAAAACGCACCCACACACTTTGCTATTATAATTGCTATATTTGCTGTGGTCATTATTGTCAAAATCGTGATTTTTTTTTTGTATTACTAAATACGAAACACAATGGTTGGAAACATAAGGATATGTTGAGAAATGAGAAATTGTCAGTAATGCAGCTGTCACTTTCACGCCATGCTATCTGCACTCACACACCACCCAACACAACACACAATACCCAAACACACACTATAATCCATACTCAAAATTAGCACCATTTCCCCCTCCTCTCAGCTGACCAGCGCATCGTGGGAGGCTATGAGGCAGAGCCGTACAAGCGCGGGTACCAGGCTGCTTTGAAACAAAGGAAGTTATTGTGGGGGTGTTGTCATCAGTAAACTGTTTGTCCTGACAGCTGCCCACTGCATACTAGAGTGAGTACTGATGGTGACGATGTTGATGATAATGATAATAATGCTAATGGTAATGTATATAATGATATATTCACAATAATGATAATATAATTATCAAAGATATCAATAATGATAAGAATGATATTGATATTAAAAGTAATATTATAACAACAGCAACAGTATGCTGGCATAGCCCAGTCCTGTTTCTGCATGTTACAGCTTCTACATTTTCTACTCTTTCTTCGCCATAATAATTTGCTCTTCTCTCCTTTCTTTTCATTTTCCTTTTTTTTTTTTCCTTAGCAAGAATAGGCGAATGACTGTAACTGTGGGCATACACGATCTAAAGGTGAAGGAGAGCTTTACCCAGGTGATTCCCGTTGCAAAAGCATTCCTTCATCCGGACTATTACAGAGACAAGGGCATAACAATGACATTGCTGTCCTGAAACTGGAACAGAAAATGAAAATGACTGGTGCGTTCTAATGTTCTTTTCGGTTACGTTTAAGGGTGTAAATGTGCTTGTTTGTATTTGTGTTTGCATATGTGTGCATGTGCCTATATATTTATACATTTGTCTATACACGTTTTCGTAAAAGTCGACGAAATAATGGCATTGAGACTGAAGCTAGCAATTGGTTTCATGTCTCTTATTGCTGTGTACGCTTCTACCGATGTTTGTAAACTCGACGTGAAAGAGATGTTCAACGCCAAACTTGCATCCGTGGCAGACAGTTGTCCCCGGCGAGATATCCGTATTGTTCTGGGTGACTTCAATGCAGTATCGCTGTGATCGAGCTGGCTATGAGATGTCTGTCGGTCCTCATGGTTCGGGAGGTGATACCGGCAGCGAGAATAGCCTCCTTTTCCGGGACTTTGCTACGTCCCAGGATTTGAGGATTTCTGGTTCCTGGTTCCAGTGCTGAGTTCTGTGGTACTGACCATAGATTGGTTGTGGCTACCCTCCAGGTACACTTCAAAACTCCCCAGCGGTCATTTCACAGCACTCGACAATCTGACGGACCCTGTACTTGTGTGGGACACCTTCAAGCGCGAAACACTTGATGCAGCCCAAGAATCGTTAGGTGAACGACCGAGGGCAAGACAGAATTTTATCTCACAGGAGACACTGGAAGTCATAGATGCTTGCCATGCAGCTCGTCTGGCAGGGGATTGGGATTTGCACCATTCTCAGGTGCGCAGAACTCGGTCTCTGTTAAGAAGGTACAAGGAGCAGCTTATTAGGAGTCTTGCTGAGGAGGTCGAAGGCCATTTCTTAGTAAATGACCTTCGTCCTGCATACCAAGCCCTGAGAAAGCTGAACTCCAAGCCCTCACCACAAGTCACAGCAGTTCACTCAGTAAGTGGTCAGATCGTCTCAGATCCTGTTGCGGTGCAGGAGTGTTGGACTGAGTATTTTGAGCAGCTGTACCAGATTGACCCACCAACAGTTAACTTGGATGTGGGTAGTGCCAAGATTACGTTGACGGACAAACCCATCAGTGAGGATCCATCCTCCCTAACTGAAGTTAGGGAGGCGATCTCCAAGCTGAAGAATGGCAAAGCAGCGGCTTTCCAGCTGAACTGTTAAACGCTGGTGGTGAACCTATGGCACAGAGGTTGCATGCTGTCCTGGCTGCCATCTGGCGGTCAGGTACACCCCTATTAAGGGGTGTGGTCATCTCTCTCTGGAAGGGGAAGGGGGACCGATGGGACTGCAGCAATCACCGAGGCAAGGTTCTTGCCCACATCTTTCTGAGACGTATCAGGGACTACCTACTGAGGCATCAGAGGCCGGAGCAATCTAGATTCACTTCTGGTAAGTCCACAATAGATCATATCCTTGCGCTTCGAGTCATTGCAGAGAACCGTCGTGAGTTCGGGTGTGGGCTGCTTGCAGCTTACATCGACCTCAAGAAAGCGTTCGGAATCACTCTGAGGGAAGACTGAGACTGAGAGGAATTCCAACAAGGATTATTAGACTAATAGCAAGTCTGTATACTGGTACTGAAAGTGCTGTAAAGTGTGATGGGTACTTGTCGAGCTTCTTTCCTGTTAGTTCAGGAGTGAGGCAAGGCTGTGTCCTTGCACCAACACTTTTCAACACTTGTATGGACTTTAACTGGACGAGCTACTGTTCAAAGTCATTGTTGAGCACCTCTGGGCAATATTAAGGTTACAGACCTTGACTTTACTGGTGATGTTGCTATTCTGAGTCTTTGGAAACCTTAGTGGTAGCTCTTGATGCATTTAACATGAAGCAAAGCCCTTGGGTCTAGAGGTCTCCTGGACCAAGACCAAGACCAAGATCCAGGACTTTGGGGACTTGCTAGGAGAACCTGTTCAGTCGGTACGTGCTTCCGGCGAGGACACTGAGAGCTTTACATACCTTGGTAGTGTAGTTCATAACTCTGGGCTGTAAGACCAAGAAGTCAGAAGACAGATTGGCCTGGCAGCAGGGGTCATGAACTCTCTTGCCAAGAGTATCTGGAGATGTCGGTACCTGTGCAGAAAGACCAAGCTACGGGTTTACAAGGCCCTGATCATACCAGTTTTGCTATATGGTAGTAAAGCCTTAACATTATCCTGTACCTTTGAGTCTCGTCTTGATGCCTTCTGTAATAGGTCCTTGTGCCGGATCATCGGGTATTGTTGGCGGGACCACATGTCCAACCAACGATTCCACGGTGAGACTGGCTCAGGACCTGTTATCTGCACAATCCGTGATTACCAACTCAGGCTATATGGCCACCTGGCTCGCTTCCCACAGGATGATCCTGCCCACCAGGTTGTCTTTGTAAGAGACAACCCGGGGTGGAGGAGGTCTGTGGGACGACCGAGGAAGTCGTGGCTTGGGCAGACCGATCAAACCTGTTGTGAGGAGCTCGAGATGGGCTGAGTCTCTACCTGGCAGCTTGCTATGAGGGACCCAAAAGGTGGAAACAAAGGGTGGACGTGGTTATGCGCCCCCGTCGGCGTAAGCTTCTAATGATGGTGATGAATGAAATACGCTGTCATATATGCATACATACATTCATGTATATGCATATGTACATATATATCTAATATATATATATATATATATATATATATATATATATATATATATATATATATATATATATATGTAATACATATATGGATATATATGCATCATATATATATATAATATATATACATATATGTTTAAT